GGCATGATTGTGCCACAACCAATCCATCTCAAGAATGATATCGAAAGCTTGACTTGGCACCACCTATAATGACCGAAGCTCAAACTTGAGGTCACCTTCACACACAACTAGATCCACCTCATCTTGTGCATATGCATATGTATAACTATTGCCAAAAAGAATGAAAATTAGCTCTACCATATGACACAAATGTAAACAGCAACATATGGCAATAGACTGAATAATAGAAGATAAACTCAAGCCTGTATCAACCAACATAAAGAGAATAATAAGAGACATCTTGTTATAAAAAATCAGCTTAGAAAGTAAACACTTGATGAATTAATGTTGAGTGAATTCCTTGATGATACTCCCAAAAGAAAGATGAAGGGATGACCAAATTATTTGTGGAAGAACCCTTTACTACTTGTGCAATTCTTTGTTTCCTAGAAGCATCTTAATGTCTAAACCTTCTATTACTGTAACATTAATAAAACTTTGTTGATGCCAAGGTTTCCACTTAAGAAATGGAGGACTCTAATTTGGAAAACACTAATAATGCCGATAAATGTAACCAACTTCATCACATACCCAACAACGGACATCACGGCTATAACCATATCTTCGCCCTTGTCCTTGAACTCGTGTAACAGCAGCATCAACCTCTATTGAAACAAGACCATCTCCCATAAAAAGTGGAGTTAAAGAATAGGTTGCAAAAAGTGGAAGAAGTAATGTCTCATAATGTTGTGCCAAGTGGAGAGTACTATCAAGGGTGGCTAAAGCAAGTGTATACATAAGTTTTACAATATTTTGACAAAGTGCTAACCACAACATTTTAACTTGATCCACTCCAACATATTTAGCTTTGCACGAAGTAAAAAGCTCTAAAAACAAACACCAAATTGCATTACTAACTTAGATGGTTTTTTACGAAGACGATGCAATTGTTGAAAAGCATTATCACAATCATTTATATGTCCAAATGCACGTTTGAAGATGCTTGGGAGAATGCTCCAATTCACATAAATGACTACACTTAAACCATTGTACCACTACATCACCATCCCTTGGAGACACATGGAAAACTCATGCAAACATTGAGCATCTTCCAAGAATGATATGTGGCAATCACCATAAAGTGATTGAACTAATGGTACATATCATCCCCATGATTCATATGGAAGAACTCCAGTCGGACACAAAAATTAACAACAAGAGCAAGATGAGATGTATCACGTGCTATGAATACTACCATCAACTAAATTTAATTGTTTAACTACAACTACATAACATTAAGCAATTGCACCAACTACTACTCTAGAATCCAAAGAGGAGAAAGCTACCACTTTGCCATGAAGATAAAAGAAAAAAAAAACAAAAGAGAAGAAATTAAAAAACTTATAAGGAAAGTGAAATTTAGATAATTGAAAAACACTAAAATCCTAGCTCTTCTTAGGGACAATTGAAATTACCCCTCATCTCCACTAATGTGAGTGCATGGAATATGGAAATAGAATATAAAATGTGCATATCAACTAGCCCAAAAACCTTAGTTTATATACATGAGTGAGTGGTCTAGATTGAAACTAATTCAACGGCTATCAAATCCCACTACACTAATATTAGTATAAAGCTTTTAATATTAGTATATGGACAATACAATTAGACCTCATAAATGCAAATTTTTATCTATATATTATTATTTAAAATATAAATATCACTAATAATATAAAATAAAATAAATAAAGAATCATATTCTGGATTTTCCAGCTAATTTTTTTCTTACATCTCTAGACAATTTCATATTTCAAGTTTTCCATCAACATTATTCACACAACAGTCTAGCAGTACTAATACATATTTCATGGTAGTATTTTCATTCCGAAACCCTCCATAACAATTAATATGGTTAGTAGTGTTTTCGTTAATACAAGATCCCAGGCCTGGGAGGTTTACCACAAGAGTTAAGCCTTGAGCGAAACCATTCTTCTGAGTTGCAGCCAACATTTTAATGCTGTTGTCATAATAAGGATTCACAAGACAAGATATAATGCATTTGCTATTGCGGAAAAGTCCCAAGGAGTGATTAAACATGCCTCATGGTTTGTCTGTAGCAATGACTGCTCATAAATAACCACCTCTGCTTTGGGAGAACATATTAGTTAATGGAATTTTCAATTTAGACACTTTGTCCCGTAGATAGATGAGTGAGTGACGGCTGGACCAATTTCCATGCCAAAATCTTATACTTCTCAGTTGGGTTTTAATGTACGTAATAATAATAAAATGACCAAATCACGAACTAGTTGTCCTCCAGGAACAATCGAATATTCTAAGGAAGAAATTGAATTATTGAACATTAAACTAAAATCTATATTTTCTTTTATATAACCCTAAGCTATTTTCTTAGGGTTATTTTCTATAACCCTAAAAATCGGGTCTTTTCTCTTTTTGCTCGATCTTATCATCAGGACTCCTCTGCCAGTTCTTGGGAGGGATATGCTCATGTTTAGCATCTTTCCTGTTCCACTCTAATTACACAGGAAATAGTTCAAAGCACAACTGCATGATGATGGAGAAATCAGTCAATGCGTATGCGGATCTTCGACTAGAACCTATTTAATAAGAAGAAGAGTTTCTTCAGCAACACGAAGATAACTCGGTTCTCAACCATATATCAGATCAAGTTGACAGCACAAACACCTTCATCGACAAGGCTTTAAACTTTGGAGGAAGAAAACATACATCTCGCGAGACTATCGCCAAAAATTGCTCCTGCGCATTGCTCCAAGAATTGCGGCAGCGTGCTCGTGGAGTGAATCGGAGGATTGTGGTCCGGGGTCGGATACGCGGGAGGGACTTCGGTCAGCGACATTGGCTCAACACCCATGAACTGGTGAAAGGTGGACCCATTGAGGAAGAGATCGTTGGACGACGTGATGGTTGCGGTGGTGTCGAACTCGGGACCATGGAGACTGAACCATGGCGTGACTTCGCTCCTCCGGCCAGCTACAAATACATTGTTGTCACTTAAGATCTTGGCGTTCACTCTTCCACCTATCGCGTAATAGCCCCAGTTGGTGTATAGATTGTTGATGACGTGACAGTAACCCCATCTAGCAGTGAATTACGTATGTAAGTTGAGGAAAATGTGTCGTGAACATACCTGCAGTGTGGCATTCTTTGCGTTGAATCTTTGAACCAATTTCTGTAGACCGTGACTCTCATGATCTTGTCCTCAGTATCAGCGTCAGATGCCCCGAGGAGCATGTTAAAGTTTAGATTTGTGAGAAGCGAGTTGGAGATTGTCACGTCCGTGGATCCTTGGAGCACCGAGACGAGGCCGAGCCTGGCGTCCCAGGAGGATACATGATCGACCCAGATCTTCTTGGAGCCGGCGTAGATGTGGATCGTATCACTCTCGCCCACCGAGCTAATCTGGAGGTTGTGTAAGATGACATTGCTCACGCCACCGAGCACCAAGTTTCTTCCGGTGATTGTTACGTTGAAGCCCCGCCCGTCGATGGTTGTCATGCTTCGAATCCAGAGCATCTCCTGGAGGAAGATGGTCATGTTCCCGGCAAAAGTTATCCACACGCCATTTCCATCGGAGTTCCCGAGAGAGACCCCATATCTCAGAGTTCCTGGCACCGGTATTTTGGGATCATCGTCTTGTGGATTCGTGACAACGTAGGCCAGGCCATTTGCTCCTCCCACAACTCCAGCTGCAAATCCAAGAGCACAAACTGGAAGGTTTTTACCTTGCCCGCAGGGAGAAAACTGGCAAACGGTTCCGTCAACTTCGCATGGAGCTTCGGTGGATCCAACTACGAAAAAGATCAATTGATTAGTTCATCGCTCCAAACAAATAGAATAATATAATACCATCGTTGACTCCAACAGGAGGATTATAGATGCCTTTGAGCTTGTCTTTGTCTACCAATGAATTGAGAAGATTTGTGGCAGCATCCACATGAGTCAACGCTTGTCCCGTGAGATACAAGAGCGCTTGACTCAAATGTGCCTGACAGCGAACGGACTTGGTAAAAAAGGTACAAAGCAAAGTTCTTACGTGACTAGCTTCCAGCGCGGTGTTGCACTCGCCAAGGATTTTCTTCACGATCGAGAGCTGCTGGATTGCCCCGGCATAATCATCCTGGAGGAGGAATGTCTCGACTCTGGCCAGAATCCCCAGCACGTTGCTCATCTGCGCCTTGCAATCCTCATCCGAGAAGACCGCCGGCGCGGCCTTCTGCAAGTTTTGCTGGGCCTTCTCCAAGTTGATGACAATGTCGCGCTCCATAAGCTCCCGCTGCGCGTCACTGAGACCCGAGAACTCCCGCGTTGCATGGCACAAACGCAGCGCCAACAAGATCAACAGCAGAAAAACCAGCTGCTGGAACAATCCCATCTTTTCTAAACAATTTCTCGAGCTCAGGTTTCTTCCAGGCGCCTTTTGTACGACCCATGAAAGAGTTACGTACCGAGAAACGAGAGAGTTCTTGGCACATTGGGAGACGGAGCGACTCAGTCAATACTTACGTTTAGGCCAGAGTTTGAGAATTAGGTCGGAGAAATTAGGTCACCGGCCATGGCCCGTGACACGAGTCGAGCTTGCCGTCGCGGCAGGCTGGCAAGAAACAGAACACCCATCATCGCACCGTACGGACAGCACTTTCGCGCGCTTTGTCAAAGTTAAAAGGAGCCCGGGAAAAAAAAAAAAGGCTGGCACCGGATCGAATCGGAATATCTTGGCCGTGCACACACCCCAAGCCACTTACATTTTCTTTCGAGCACGCCACGCCCTTGTTTGATTCGATCAACAAACTTTTAGGGCGTGGATTATCGCGGAGGTGGCGGGAGTCGAACCCTCGATGTTTGCTAATCGAAGGTCCTGCGAAGGAGCGGATCCTGGCCAGCTTGCATTGGCATACATGTACGTACCCGATACCATCTCCGAGACTGTATTGTACAGCTGTAATAGTATGTGGTGGTGTGTATGCGCCAAAAATCAGGTATATATTGTGGGGGGAGAGCTCAAATTCGAAGCACAACACGAACGTCTCTCTTCGTCTTCTTCGTCTCTCTTTCCCAATATCCTTGAAAGCTCTTGGGCGATGGCCAAGTATCAAATGCTGCTCCTCGCTATCTTCATCGCGACGCTCGTTTGCCTCGAGGTGGTTCCTTCGTTGTTCTTCCTTTTGCGATTTCCCGGCCAAGCTTGTAACTCTGTGTCTTCGTTTTGATTCTAGATTGCTGCTGCTGGTGCTACCGAGCAACTGGAGCAAACCGAGGTTGGATGCTCTCTCATCTCCATTCCATCTCTCGTCGCGAGGCTTGAAAGTTTTCTGTGTGACTTGTCTTGCAGAAGCAAGGTGCTTTGGTCGGCTCCAAGAACAGGTCTCCATATCTAAGTGAGAAGACTTTGAACTCCTCCTCTTCTTCTCATTGTGTCCAGAGTTTTGATGTATCCAACCCCCTCTCTTCTTATAGATTGCGCGGCTGCCTGCGACTACCGCTGCTCCAAGGCGGGCCTTCACAAGCGCTGCCTCAAGTACTGTAACATCTGCTGCGGGAAATGCCAATGCGTGCCACCGGGAACTGCTGGGAACCGAGAGGTCTGCCCCTGCTACAACGAGATGAAGAACTCGAGAGGCGGACACAAGTGCCCGTGAGCCCGTCACTGCTCTGCCCGTGCCTCTCTGGCTTCTGGCTTCTCGTAAAGTTTCTTCTCCGAGTGCTTCTTGCTATTATAGTTTCTGGTGCTGCTTGTTGAAACAATAATGCTTGGCTTCTGTACACACTTGTAAGTTGATCTAAAGACCACGCCTTGCTCAATCAATGTCGACAGTTCTCTCCAATCATGTATCTGACGCAAGCAGCCGGGTTAGAGAAGCGAAGCTTCACTTCAATGCATAAATGCCTCACCCACGTAGTGTATTTGCGAAGCTCTTCTGGGCTGCTCTCTCTCTCTCTCTCTCTCTCTCTCTCTCTCTCTCTCTCTCTCTCTCTCTCTCTCGCCAGTGGTGACTCTTACTGAGCTGCTGCAACGAAAAACTTTTAGAAAAAGCAAAAGCTTGGAGCACTAAATTTACCTGGTCGCAAGCTTGCCAGATTGTCATCCACATCACGTTGCGTCATGCTGGTCATCAAATCTCAAGCGATCACAGTCTGTTCAAACAAAGCCAGCCGCTACCAACCAGTTGACAGCCGAGCTTGATTTTTAACTCTTTAAGACAAGACCCCTGTCCCTTCTACTCTCAACTTCAGGAAAACAAAGCGAAGTTATAAAAAGAAATCACAAACCTCTTCAATCGAAGACGGTCGCCATTTGTCCCGATGCCTATGCGTGTCCTGTCCTGAAAAAACAATCTTCCAGAATAGAACCACTTTAGGACAGAGCCAGCCAGTACACACAATGCGAAAGAGAATGACCAAAGTTAGTAGTGAATGGAAAGCGAGAACCAAAAACGATAAAGAGGAAGATGAGATCAAATGTATAAAGTCGAGCGATCGAGACTTACAAACCAGGCAGCTCTCACTTGATGTACTGAGACAGCCACCTGAAGCCTTCGCCATAACCCATCTTCCGGACGATGCTACACATGAAGACCTCGATGGGGCGGACGTTACTGTTGAGGTCCGCCTTGCCTTTGCCAGTGGTGTGGCTTAGACCCAAGAACCAGCGGAGCTCCTCCTCGGACGCTGCGTAAGGAATGTCGATCTTGTTTCCCAGGACCAGGAAAGGGACCTGCGAGAGAGAATCGTCCGCGAGGAGAGCGTCGAGCTCCTTCTTTGCCTCGGGAAATCTCTCCTTGTCAGCGTCGTCCACTAAGTAGACGATGCCATCAACCTTGTATAGCCAAAAAAAAGAGAGAAAAATTAGTGCTATAGTTTTCACCCAAAAACAAAGAAGAAAGGAGAATCTTTCCCACAAACCTTGGCGTAGTAGTCCTTCCAGACGCGACGAGCGATCTGGTGACCGCCCAGATCAAACGCTTTGAACTTGATCTTGCCTATGCTCAGCTCCTCCGAGGTCGGGTACTGCGTCGGCTGGTGCTGGACGAGTCTCTGCGCAGGCGCAATCCCCAGATCCATGACCTAGGGGAGGAAATTCCAAGAAATTCGCTTACCTCGTCCTTGAGCATGTGTAGCAGCGTCGTCTTGCCGGCGTTGTCGAGCCCTAGGAACAAGATCTTGCCCTCCTTCTGCCACAGCCCTAGGCTCGCTAAGACGCCATAGAACCAATCCACTAGAAACATCCTCCTTTCCTCCTTTCCTCCTCCTACCTTAACTTAGAACCCTAAATATTTGGCAAGTTATTTGGGGACCTTTTCCTTTTCTTGCAAGGACTTTTTCTACAAATCGCCTATACTTTGTTTTCTCCAATGAATCGGTCTATAATACAAAGCACCCAAGAATCCTGAAAGGATGGATCCAACCACGCAAAGAATGGGAGAAGAAGAAAAAAACGAGAGAGACCAAGAACAGTAGATCTCCTCTTTTTCTCCGTCTCCCTTGCTCTCACGTCGATCGTGTCGTCTCGTTTCGTCACAATCATCGGACTAGTCCGTGAGCCTCCAAGAGTCTCAGCAGCTGGTGCCGCGACAACGGTTTCGTGAAGAAATCGTTCACCCCGGCCGCAAGAAACTGGTTGCGATCGCTGTCGAGAGCATTTCCCGTGAGCCCGACGATCGTTGTCTTGACACCCATCGCGCGTATCTCTCGCGTAGCCTGGAGCAACAGCACACCACCCAAACAGCGTGAGATTCCATCGCGTTGACATTGCATTCGAGAGCTCGTACCTCGTGCCCGTCCATCACAGGCATCTCCTTGTCAATCAGTATCATGTCGTACTGCGCACCGCTGCGGCACATATCCACCGCCTGGAGCCCGTCCTCCGCGGCATCGCTCTCGATGTTGAAGCTGGCGAGGAGCTTTTTCAGTATCCGCCTGTTCACCTGGTTGTCCTCCACGATCAAAACCTTTGGAGTCGGCCGTGGTGGCTGCTGGGAGCTCGACAAACCACCGCTCGCCGCCACGACGCCGGTTTCCACGCGGCTCTCCTCCGGAAGGTCGAATGGATTCACCAGCACTTCCTCGGCTGCCTTTCCCTCGATTGAAACCGTGCCGGCAACTTCGAACGGGATTGTGAAGGAGAAAACACTGCCTCTGCCCGTGTCCGAGAACACGCCAATCTTTCCTCCTGCGAGTTCCACAATCCTGCAAAGTTTACTGAGTATACGCAAAACAATGAATAGAAAGAAACCGTAGTACCTCTTTGCGAAGGACAGGCCAAGGCCCGTACCGCCTTGGGATTGTGTGGATCCGGTATGAACTTGTATATACGGCTCGAATAACCTCACTTGATCTTCTTTGCTGATCCCGATACCTGTGTCCTCTACTGAAACCGTCACGCTTGCAACGCACCGTTTCTTGCTTAGTTCCGAGAGTTCTTGCTTGGCATGAGAAGCGGGGGAGTCAGCGGGTACATCCCCAGAGCCGTCCTGTTTTGTTCTGTTCCAGACAACGTGAAGCTTCACTCTACCACCGCGGGGAGTGAACTTTGTAGCATTTGACAGATAGTTGGCCAACACCTAAGCAGTGCAGTGAAGTGAGCCACGCGAGCATCAACTGGCAAGGAAATTCTCACCTGTCTAATCCTGTGCTTGTCACCAACAAGGTCGTGCGTGGAAAGGAATTCCTTTGTACAGTCATCCACGCAAAGAGAAAACTCGAGGCCCTTTGATTCTAACGTGTCTTTGAAAGCCCATATCAACGAGCTGACAAGCTCTGCCAGATTAAACGGCTGTTTTTCAAGCTGCAATTTGCCGGACTCTATCTTCCCTGCAAAAAACCGACCAGTGAGCACTGCTCAGGTAAATACAAAACATACCCATATCAAGAACATCGTTGAGGATCCGGATCATAGACGAGGACGATGAATCCATCATATTTAGAACCTCTTGCTGCTCTTCTGACACGTTGGTTGCCAAAAGGTGGCCAATTCCCAGGACTACAGCGTTAAATGGAACTGCATGCACACATTTTCGATGAGTCGAAGCAGCAAAACTCTGCGGGAGCGTACCTCGAATTTCATGAAAGATGTAGCTGATGAACTGCCTCATCTTCGCAATCCTCTCCGAGCTATCCTTTTTCACATTTCTCAGCTCCGCCTGTACCTCGCGCGTGTTCAGCCGCGAACATGACACAGCCTTCTTGAGAGAGCAAGCCAAAGCAAAGAGTTCTTTCTCTGACCGCCATCCATGGTAGCTCACCAGCACGCTCGACAGGAAGACGAACGGAGACAAAACCCAGGGAGCACTAGAGATGAACTCCAAATCTCTCGAGGAGTAAACAGCGAAAGAAAGAAAGACCAAAAGGACCAAACCGGCCAAAGCGCACGCAACGCGCAGAGCCATGACGGGAGCGCTCAGAAGCAAAAGAGGAAGACTGCTCACAAGAAACACAGGCAGAGGATCCAGAAGCTTGCAACGAGCTGAATCGTCTCTCACAGCGCACACCACCTTGGGCACGTACCACGCAGCGCAGGCCAAGAGAATGACGAGAGGAAAGAGTGCCTGACACACAATCCTGCTGCCATCGTAATCGCAGCAGAGAAAGTAGAGCAGCAGCAGCGAGAGAAGAACGCAAAGGAGCCACAAAAGGGCCCGTGCCATCGAGAAGTTGGCACTGTCCTTGAAAGTCTCCAGCACAAGAGCCAGGAAGAACAGCACTGCCAGGGATCCACAGACGCTAAGAACCTGCCATTTTTGCCTCCTCCAGCTAAAATCCTTCAAACTGTCGCAGAGATAGCTGCCCCCAAAGCTTCTCTTGAGCTGCGGTGGCAGCAGTGGATGGCGCAGCCAATCCTCATCTGATGAATCCCCTGAGCGAGGGCTCCGATTTTTGGCACCACTCTCCGCCTTGCTAGATTTCTTCCTCAGAAATGCTCCAAGCTCCGGCTTCTTCCGTGAACCTGTGCCGTCATCATCCATGTCGTCCTTGCACATTCCTAAATCCCTCCAAAGCTATGGCGCTATGGATAATCCGGTCGGCTAGGACTAAGAATGGAGATTACCTCCATGGATTCCTCTCCTCTCTCTGGTGAGGACGATCGCCAAGGCCCTGCCAGACGAAACCCTGGAGCGCGGCCTGCCACACAGCCGCTTCTCATCTTCAATCCCCCTCAAAACCCTGGCGCCGGGCTAGAATTTGCTCAAGATTGGGGATTCTTGCGGGGGAGCAGCAGCAATCTCTCCCTCTTTCTTGCCTCGACTCGATAAGCATCAGCGTTTGGAGCATAAACCCTAACACCGCATTTATACGATGCTGCTGTGAATATTCCCCCGTAGTTTTTCTTGGAAAAACGGTAAGATTTGCGCTAACAAATCCGGATCCTTAGAGTTATTACCGCGCAGCTTAACTTAACTTACTATAAAAAAATCTCTCGCACACGAGATTTTCACGTGTGTAAGTTACTGTGGGTTTTGATTGATTCCATCGGCATCTAGCAATTCATTTCAAACACGAAACCTCGCAGCATTTTTCTCTTAGAGGTCAAACGCATATTATCCTCCCTTTGTTAGGTGGTGAGGTGACAACGAAAATGCGCGCGCACCTTTTACCCGAGATATTTTGTTAGTTTAACCGGTCTACTTATAACCCTAGGACGGGTGGCAAGTAATTTTGTACCGTCCGCCAAAGTCAGCCCAAGTGTGTGTGTTGGCTTGTTAGTTTGGCGCCACATTAGTTCCAAATTTTCAAGTGTTTTTGGGGGTTTTCGCGAGATTCGTCCGCCAACTTGGAGAGATCGGTGCCACTGGATTTCGATTCTAGGGCTCCTGGGGATGAGGGAAGCGTTTGTTTGTTTTTCGCGGTGGCAAACTTCTTTTCGCCTGGTCATTGGTCCACCTATACCTTGTAACATTTATAAAGGAGCGATGGTGGATTAGGGTCAATGGTCGCATCCAGCCGTCCATTTCGCGAGAGAATTCGCAGCCAAGGAAACTCCAGAGCCACAAGCAACACAGATATTATAGAAAACGAGAGTCCATCCAATCCAATCCAATCTTTTGGGTCGTTGGACCCATCCATTTTTGGGTCTTTGTTGTTCATCACAAAAATGGGGATGGACTGGGGAGGAGAGGAGGATTGTCGATTCCATTGAGATAATGTTTTTGAGAAATTCTTTTTTCCAAGCTCACGGACGATCGATAGGACGGGGCCTTGGATGCTGGATCGTGTCGAAAGAGAAAGGAGAGGAAAGAGGGAGAATCGATCGATCAATCCCAGAAGGGAAGCTTGCGTCTTCTCTCCCGGGAGAGAGATCTAGCTGAGAAGGCACAAACCA